GATTGTTTAATCTACATTCTGTTTGACAATTTTCTTTTTCGAAGGTCTTTTTTATAAATCTGTAATTTGTAAACACGAAGAATCGATATACCTAAATTTTATATCAAAAGTAGCAAAAGTATTATATGTATCAATGTTAGAACAAATTTGACAAGAAAATTAATCTTACAACAATTTTAGTTTTGTTTCCATTAAAAATATTATGTTCAACTTCCTTTTGTTTTTAAAATTATTGATGTTATTACGAACTAATTTCTGTTTTCAGTTTTTGAAACGTTATACATTTCCCACATTTTCCACAAGATGAGTTGTGAAAATAAGAAATATGCAGTAGTTAAATTTTTATCAGATTCTACATATTCTGAAATTCCAACAGCATGGCTTTTTAAAGATAAGGAGGATATTCAGCAATGTTGGTGGCCACCTCGAACGGCAAACAGTGCAACATTAATAATAAACTGTGAAAGTCCCGATTCTACATGGAATAGTTATGAAGTGGATATCGTAAAATATTGTAGTAAGTATTTGCATTAATATATAATCGTCAAGTTTACTACATAAAACATAAAGTAACATATAGGAAAAATAAAATCATTTCTTATGTTTTTACCTCTTAGTTAAATAATGAATTACTATCATAATATACAAATATATGTACATGCGAAGTATATGATGTAAAATACAGATTTAATTACCAGTAAATATTAAAACTATTATGCTAGTCAGTGAATGAAAAATCTAAATGTAATTTTTTGTTTTTTACTGCAGCATCTCTTGAATCAGCTCGAAAGAATGCAGCAGATTCTAATTATAGCACAACCGACGAAGAACGACTGGGCCGAGGAAAGTGGCAACGTATTTTGTATAGTCGTTTCAGCGATGAAGAAGAATATGATCATCAATCTCAACCTCGAAAATATACGAAAAGTAAAGTACCGTTGACACATATTTTACTATAATTGCGTCCGTTTTGGACACTTTCGTACTGAAAGCATTATTCTATCTTTATCAGCATATAATGAGCAATAAAGATAGATTGATGCTATCAACATGAAAATGTGCAAAGCGAATGCATATTTCCTTTATATTATAGCATAATTTTCATATAACTATTTTGCATTGTTATTGTTCACGAATCCTTGCAATGTAATATTGGAATACAAATATTGGATCCTATTTATAGAAAAACAAATTAAAACTGCTGTTCAGGCAACCACCAACACTATTCAGCAACTACCATTATGTCCTCCAAACTTGGATTTTATTAACAAAGAACAACAAAACAAGATCTTAAAAATTAATAATGACAACAGACACAACAAAATTATTACTTCACAAAATGGTATTTCTTTATGATAAAAATATGTAAATGATTACAGTAATATTACACATGGTAATTTATACATTTCCAGAAGAAGAAAATGAATTATTGATAACAGATATGGGAGACAAGGAGAATGAATATTCCAATCTGTACAATGTACCCATAATATTACAAGGTATATAAATTACAATATTAAAATCACCATTATTTGTAAAGCATTAATTGTAAAACTACAAACTTTAACAAATTTAAGAAATTAGGCTCTCGAGTGAACTCACAAATTCAAATAATCGCGGGCTAGTAAGGGCCAGAACGCGGATGGCAGTGCGTCAGTTTCATAGAAAAATAAGTTTTCTATGAAACTGAATATGTGCACAGGGCACGAAATTTACTTGGTGTATACCAAGATTTTTTAAAAATTAATCTCAAGATGGCGTTAATAGTAATAGATATTATAAGGCAAATGAGAAGTATCGGTGGTGTGGGGTCTGAATAGCTCAGAGGTAAGAGCAGTCGCCCGGCAAGCGAAAGACTCGGGTTCGATTCCCGATTCAGCGACTTCGCCCCGATATTTTTCTCGCCTTCGTCTCTCCAGGGGGGTAAAGAGGGATTATTATAAATCTCGAATTGAGATTAATTTTTAAAAAAATCTTGGTATACACCAAGTAAATTTCGTGCCCTGTGCACATATTCAGTTTCATAGAAAACTTATTTTTCTATGAAACTGACGCACTGCCATCCGCGTTCTGGCTCTTACTAGCCCGCGATTATTTGAATTTGTGAGTTCACTCGAGAGCCTAATTTCTTAAATTTGTTAGTTCACGCCGGCTGAAAGATGGCGTTAATAGTAATAGATATTATAAGGCAAATGAGAAGTATCGGTGGTGTGGGGTCTGAATAGCTCAGAGGTAAGAGCAGTCGCCCGGCAAGCGAAAGACTCGGGTTCGATTCCCGATTCAGCGACTTCGCCCCGATATTTTTCTCGCCTTCGTCTCTCCAGGGGGGTAAAGAGGGATTATTATAAATCTCGAATTGAGATTAATTTTTAAAAAAATCTTGGTATACACCAAGTAAATTTCGTGCCCTGTGCACATATTCAGTTTCATAGAAAACTTATTTTTCTATGAAACTGACGCACTGCCATCCGCGTTCTGGCTCTTACTAGCCCGCGATTATTTGAATTTGTGAGTTCACTCGAGAGCCTAATTTCTTAAATTTGTTAGTTCACGCCGGCTGAAAGATGGCGTTAATAGTAATAGATATTATAAGGCAAATGAGAAGTATCGGTGGTGTGGGGTCTGAATAGCTCAGAGGTAAGAGCAGTCGCCCGGCAAGCGAAAGACTCGGGTTCGATTCCCGATTCAGCGACTTCGCCCCGATATTTTTCTCGCCTTCGTCTCTCCAGGGGGGTAAAGAGGGATTATTATAAATCTCGAATTGAGATTAATTTTTAAAAAAATCTTGGTATACACCAAGTAAATTTCGTGCCCTGTGCACATATTCAGTTTCATAGAAAACTTATTTTTCTATGAAACTGACGCACTGCCATCCGCGTTCTGGCTCTTACTAGCCCGCGATTATTTGAATTTGTGAGTTCACTCGAGAGCCTAATTTCTTAAATTTGTTAGTTCACGCCGGCTGAAAGATGGCGTTAATAGTAATAGATATTATAAGGCAAATGAGAAGTATCGGTGGTGTGGGGTCTGAATAGCTCAGAGGTAAGAGCAGTCGCCCGGCAAGCGAAAGACTCGGGTTCGATTCCCGATTCAGCGACTTCGCCCCGATATTTTTCTCGCCTTCGTCTCTCCAGGGGGGTAAAGAGGGATTATTATAAATCTCGAATTGAGATTAATTTTTAAAAAAATCTTGGTATACACCAAGTAAATTTCGTGCCCTGTGCACATATTCAGTTTCATAGAAAACTTATTTTTCTATGAAACTGACGCACTGCCATCCGCGTTCTGGCTCTTACTAGCCCGCGATTATTTGAATTTGTGAGTTCACTCGAGAGCCTAATTTCTTAAATTTGTTAGTTCACGCCGGCTGAAAGATGGCGTTAATAGTAATAGATATTATAAGGCAAATGAGAAGTATCGGTGGTGTGGGGTCTGAATAGCTCAGAGGTAAGAGCAGTCGCCCGGCAAGCGAAAGACTCGGGTTCGATTCCCGATTCAGCGACTTCGCCCCGATATTTTTCTCGCCTTCGTCTCTCCAGGGGGGTAAAGAGGGATTATTATAAATCTCGAATTGAGATTAATTTTTAAAAAAATCTTGGTATACACCAAGTAAATTTCGTGCCCTGTGCACATATTCAGTTTCATAGAAAACTTATTTTTCTATGAAACTGACGCACTGCCATCCGCGTTCTGGCTCTTACTAGCCCGCGATTATTTGAATTTGTGAGTTCACTCGAGAGCCTAATTTCTTAAATTTGTTAGTTCACGCCGGCTGAAAGATGGCGTTAATAGTAATAGATATTATAAGGCAAATGAGAAGTATCGGTGGTGTGGGGTCTGAATAGCTCAGAGGTAAGAGCAGTCGCCCGGCAAGCGAAAGACTCGGGTTCGATTCCCGATTCAGCGACTTCGCCCCGATATTTTTCTCGCCTTCGTCTCTCCAGGGGGGTAAAGAGGGATTATTATAAATCTCGAATTGAGATTAATTTTTAAAAAAATCTTGGTATACACCAAGTAAATTTCGTGCCCTGTGCACATATTCAGTTTCATAGAAAACTTATTTTTCTATGAAACTGACGCACTGCCATCCGCGTTCTGGCTCTTACTAGCCCGCGATTATTTGAATTTGTGAGTTCACTCGAGAGCCTAATTTCTTAAATTTGTTAGTTCACGCCGGCTGAAAGATGGCGTTAATAGTAATAGATATTATAAGGCAAATGAGAAGTATCGGTGGTGTGGGGTCTGAATAGCTCAGAGGTAAGAGCAGTCGCCCGGCAAGCGAAAGACTCGGGTTCGATTCCCGATTCAGCGACTTCGCCCCGATATTTTTCTCGCCTTCGTCTCTCCAGGGGGGTAAAGAGGGATTATTATAAATCTCGAATTGAGATTAATTTTTAAAAAAATCTTGGTATACACCAAGTAAATTTCGTGCCCTGTGCACATATTCAGTTTCATAGAAAACTTATTTTTCTATGAAACTGACGCACTGCCATCCGCGTTCTGGCTCTTACTAGCCCGCGATTATTTGAATTTGTGAGTTCACTCGAGAGCCTAATTTCTTAAATTTGTTAGTTCACGCCGGCTGAAAGATGGCGTTAATAGTAATAGATATTATAAGGCAAATGAGAAGTATCGGTGGTGTGGGGTCTGAATAGCTCAGAGGTAAGAGCAGTCGCCCGGCAAGCGAAAGACTCGGGTTCGATTCCCGATTCAGCGACTTCGCCCCGATATTTTTCTCGCCTTCGTCTCTCCAGGGGGGTAAAGAGGGATTATTATAAATCTCGAATTGAGATTAATTTTTAAAAAAATCTTGGTATACACCAAGTAAATTTCGTGCCCTGTGCACATATTCAGTTTCATAGAAAACTTATTTTTCTATGAAACTGACGCACTGCCATCCGCGTTCTGGCTCTTACTAGCCCGCGATTATTTGAATTTGTGAGTTCACTCGAGAGCCTAATTTCTTAAATTTGTTAGTTCACGCCGGCTGAAAGATGGCGTTAATAGTAATAGATATTATAAGGCAAATGAGAAGTATCGGTGGTGTGGGGTCTGAATAGCTCAGAGGTAAGAGCAGTCGCCCGGCAAGCGAAAGACTCGGGTTCGATTCCCGATTCAGCGACTTCGCCCCGAATTATGTCAAAAAAAGTTAAATAGATTAACAATAAGTCTGGCCTCTAGAGAATTTAATCTAAGAAAATAAATAACTTTTATTATATAATTTATAAACAAAATTATTACCTTATTTCTCTTCTTTGACTAATGCTTAATATTTCTATTTCAGGCTCTAACTCTGAAGCTTTCAATTCAACCGTCTATGTAATATTTTTGATAAAATTCCCATAAGATTTGTTTTGTTATTTAATATAAACATGCAATTCATTGCTTTGCTATTTGTAACTGACCTAAAAATATTAATTACGCATTAATTACATTTATATATAAAATCTAAATAAACATTCACACATTCCCAAAACTAAAAATTACGAGTAATTCCAGATCCACAAAATGTTTGTAGATTATAGAAATGCTTCGATATGATTTTATCTCGGATTTTATCATTTCATTATTCTTTATGCCAATTAAAAATGTGTATTTAATGCTGTTGTTTTTATGATATTTTTGGTAGAATTCTCATAAAATTTATTTTGCTACATTAACATAAACTCATTGTTTAGCCATATGTAAGTTAACTTAAAACAATTAATTTTGCATTAATTACATTTAAATGTAAAATTAAATAAACCTTATATACGAATGCGCGTTCGCGGGTATAATTACTAGCTTATCGTTTTCGAAAACATGGCCAGCCAATTTCTTGTGTTGCACTATTCCGCGATATATAAACATATTTAATAAATCAATAAATGCAAAAAATATTTGATTTCTTTTGGTTATACCATTTATTAGAATACATTTTAGAAGGAATTCTATACTGTTAAAATGTATGCGTTTATTCAATAGAATGAACTTGTGTCATATTCATATTAAATGTATGAATAAGAAACAAGTCCATCTTCTTCGTAACAAAAACAATTTCCATTAATTATGCATATTAAGATCCACCCCCGCAGGATAGTGATGTTGACATATGTTGTCAAGATCATGACCCTGATCAACATTCCGAAGGTTTTAGCCGGCGGTCGTTGCTTATTTAAAAGTTACTAGAATATCACAAAGCGCGCGCTACGCGCGCGCCATTTATTTTTTTGTACACGTGTGTACACACACACGCACACGCGCGCGCGCGCACACACACACACACGCCCACACACATACATATAGTTCCTCGAAGCTCAACGGCGTTGTGCCGATAATTTTTCGCATGAGAATTTTTGCCGACTTCACGGCTGCTTCCCACAATCCGCCTATGTGAGGTGAATACGGAGGAATAAACTTCGAGCTAATAAACTGTTCTGCTAAATATCTGCATAATCCACACCTGTATATAAAAACGCCCGCGACTGTTGAGTTACTCGTACTGCCGGCAAATTGCCCATTAATTGCTTTGCAGTTATCGGTTTTGAACGAAAACATAC